TGCATATCTACCTATTGAGATATATATACCTACAAAGTTTCATGTTGATATCTTTTATAGTTTTAGAGTTATGTTCCGGAAAAGATTTTCCTTAAAGGGGAGATAATTCAAAAACAGGGCAAAACAGAGTTATAGTTTTTTAACACTGCACTCCGTCCCAAAGTCCTCTACCACTGTGTGCAGTTTAAACAAATTATGTCCGAGGGTTTTCAACTTATGCTCCGGACAAGCAAAACTGACGGACAGTTGGAAACAAGGCGGCGACTATATGCTGTCCCTTCGGGGAGCATAAAAAACTAAGTTCGGTTTAAATCAGAGCGATTACTTTAAAGAACTGACTGTATTTCTTCTTTTTTTCTGTGGTGTTTTTGTTGTAATTATTTTTGTGGGGGCGAGGGTTGCCGCGTTATTTAAATATAAATTACTATATTTCAAGCCAAGTCATACCTTACGCAATTGCATCCATCCTTAATGATAGAGATTTGGTTCATTCTCCATTTCAAAGTGCACATCACAGTCATAGTTAGATTTAATTGCCTTTAACCGCTGTGGGTTCAAGTCCTGGCAGGGACGTTGGATATTCTTTCATGTGAGGAAGCTCTCCAGATACCTAACGGAATATCAGTGGATCTAATCAGGTGCCCGGTGGGGCCTGGAATAATGCACATATGGGGCATCTGAAGTCTTCTTCCACTAGTAATTCTTGAAAGTCGCCAGATGACCTCGACTTAAAATCCAACCAAAAAATCTTGGATCGTAATGACAACGTAAAGAAAATCGTATTTTGGATTCCAACTTCTCTGGGTTTTAGCTCAAACTTAACAGAAATTGTAAAGAAATGAATTTACCAACAAAGAAAATATTCTAAGAAACGTTATCAAATTATATTTTAAAATAATATACAGTTATAGATTCGAGGTAACCAAAACTGAACTTAAAAGGAAGAAAATGTTACTTGGAGCTGCAATATTATGAGGTTATGTTATTATTTAATACAATACTGAATTCATTTGGACTAGCTTACAGCTGTAAAACGTATGTTAGACTGTGACAATATTGACGCAAGCGAGGTTTTACGCACTCGTAAAATGGCGGCAAAGGAATGGCATACCTTTAGAAGAACGGAATAAAATTCTACTTAGATCTCTGCAATTAAAGGGAAAGCGTTACTTCCGTACTAGTAGAACTTGTTTTATACTGTGACAGGACGGGTTCGATTAAGTCAATGTCGCATTGTGCCAGGAATCCGACATCATGTGTCTCAGTGCTGACACGCTCGTAATCGTTTATCCTAATGTCTTAGACATTATTCAACTACATGTATATCCCGATTAAACGAGATAAACTTTTTATAAGCAAATGACCAGGAATAAAACATCAAATTCGAGCATAAACATTATATAACTTTAAATGTATATAAGTCTTTATAAGACATGAAAAGCATCGGAACCATTACCACATCTTACTAAAAATAAAGCATACGTGTAACCTTGTTTCTCTATGTAAAAGGCAATCCAGACCTATGTCCTTACAGCACTATCCAAATCATCTAAAAAAAACAGTGCAAAGAATCTTTAAAAGATGTATACATTTAATTTCCTCCAAAACAAACATGCCTTCTAGTTTCTAAAGGTAAACAAATGGATAGATTAAAATATTCAGATGTTTTATGACAAAGCAATGCTACAGCTCTTACACGTTCAAATGCAAAACAGTTCCCCTTTAGGTAGAGGCAACGTGTCTACGCATGATTTAATTTTAGCCTGGTTCCACGATATTAAATTTCGCTAAACCACAGACAGTTGCACAGTACATGTGTAAGGTAAGGAGATAAGAAAACATTGTCTTTCCATTTGAAGAAAATGTAAATAAAAATGTGTTGCAAGAATGTAAGAAATTTAAAATTGGTCCTGAATTGTAAAATGTACTTGTAATTTTACTGCCGACACGCAAAATAAATCGCGTCATTCCGCACTTAATCAAAATCATATAAGACTCGGCTGCGAATCAGCCGAATAATTGGTAGGATAACGGTTACGAATTTTATTGAGCTTACTCTGGAAGTCAAGTGACTACATTTGAGCCGTGTCATGACAAAACCAACATAGTGCGTTTGCGACCAGCATGGATCCAGACCAGCCTGCGCATCCGCGCAGTCTGTTCAGGATCCATGCTGTTCGCTTACAGACCCTATAAAAATAAAGAAACTGATAGCGAACAGCATGGATCCTGATCAGACTGCGCGGATGCGCAGGCTGGTCTAGATCCATGCTGGTCGCAAACCCATTATGTTGGTTTTGTCGTGACGCGGCTCATTTTATTATAAAAGGAGCGAAAAAAAGATATATCAAAACCTTTTTTCATTTTCAAGCTCATAGTATATAAAAGGGATCTTGATCAAATACACAAACACACAAACAAAATCAAACAAATGTGTTTTATTTTGAAAAATAAAACTGTCTCTCTAAAATACTTAATCATTTTCGCCAAGTTAAACTTGAAAATTAGTTTATTATCGTGTTTGATTGGCTACTGGACGGACAAATTTGTTGATTTTATTTTGTTCTTCCCCTTTTTTGTACAAATGTTTGTAAAACAAATTAATATAAGGGAAGTGACAATTGAATTGATCTTAATAGTTATAAAGATTATAATCGGTACAATCTCGTATCTTAAACTACTTTTATTAACTTCCGTCTTTGTTACTGAATTAAAGGAAACAAAAATATTTTTATAAGATTTTTGTATCCATTCGATGTATTTCTAGACCAATAATGTGTGTGCAAAATATCAGATAATTAGTTCATTCCGTTTTTTTTCGAGAATAATCATTCCTACTGAATTAAGATATCAATGCAAGTAAAATATACTTTATTGAAATTCTTTCTGCATGACTTCCGGTAATTTCACTCCGTCTGTGACGTTTTAGCGTTGTCTGAAACTTAGGTTGCGACATCCGGCTTAAGAATCTTCGGACAGCATATAGCAAACAGTCTGCTGTGAAACTGGTGACTACTTCAAGATGAATGGCTCTGTACAGTAATATTATGTATTAGGGCTGTGCATCATTCAAAATGATCGATATTCGATATGTGTATCGATACAAAATGATCTATATTATAAATGTATCGATACAAAATAATCGATATTATATATGTATCGATACAAAATGATCGATATTATATATACCATATGATATTTTGTTCATGTTTAAACAAAAGAAATATAAAATGTTCAACACATGTCAATGTAACATGATTTATTTCTTTAAACTTTGTGATGAAATTAAAAATGCTGCTTCTATGTTGTACCAGGAAGGCTAAATGTGTATCTGTTTGGGATCACAACTCTGTCATCACATGCATTTATACTATCTCTGAAATATATGTAAAAAGAATGGCAAATCAATAATAATAATTTTACTCTTTGTTTTTAACTCTGTTATAATTGTTCTTACATTAATTTTTTAAAAAGTTGTTTTACACAATTTTGGGCCTTTGTTGTTGTTGTTTTTTTTTGTTTGTTTTTTTTTTCATTCTTTTTTTTACATTTACTCTCCATTTTATTTAATCATTTTACAATATAATTATAAGAACTTTACACATCTTTACTGACAATTGACGTTTATTTATATTCACTATATTCACACACGCAGATAATTTTGTGCGTGAATAAATTCCATCCACGTTAATGTTTGTGTTACACTATAGGCGCGTCATTGAAAAAATACTCATTTTAACAGTTTACTGTTCTTATTTTATATATGTGATAAATAGAATATTATATTCGTGTAGATTCAATACTAAATTTATTAAACTCGTTGAATAAAACAATATTATGCGAGCCTCAATATGATTTTATTCAACTCGTTTAATAAATTTAGTATTAAACTACACTCATTCAATATCCTCTATATCTTATCTACATATCGTTATTTAGTTGTCATATATAACTTACTGTCAAAATGGTAACTTTAGGGGACAGGGGACCTAAAAATGAACAATTTTGTAGTGCAGTGTGGCCAGAAACACAATTCAAAATATTTCAAAATCTGTTTCACAGGCAGATAACCAGCTGCACAATATTATTCAAGGATATTAACATACCTTCAAGAAAATAATAGTTTGCGTGCATTGCTCCTGAAAATAATGACAGCAATTTATATGTACCCCTACCCAACAAAAATCCCACATGAAATATACTTATATGGGCCATCTTCATTATTCTTTTCAACACACAAACAAGAAAGATTTCAGTTACTTTAAAACACCATGTCTGTGTTAGATCAATAAATTTGACTAGGGCCATCATTCGAATATGACCCCTGGCCTCTGTATATCATTTCGTCATTCGTTCGGTATTTTGACTTATACGGAAACGTTCTGCACGATGTATCAATCAAACCTATAATATCGGTATTCTTATATAGACTACCGGTACGTACGGTCCATAAAATGTATATTTCTGTAATATACTGTGTGTGCAGTCACAGACACTTGGGGTTATTTTAGTGGCTCCCCATCTTAATTGATCCGCACTCGTATACACCATGGATATTATTTGCATATTATTACGACCTGGCCACATATCTTGAACATAAAACTTGTTTTCCCCTCATTTGATAACGGTTAAGAAACTAAAATATCATAATTTCATATGGAAGCGTGTGTAAAAAAATGACTTTTTTAAACGTTATGAAATTCTGTTCAAACTTGTTCATGTGCTAAACCGTGTCACACTAATGTAAGCATGTTAATATTCAGGGGCGGTGAAGGGCGGGGTCTGCACTCGTCTGTGTCTGATGTGTGCAGTGACTTGAACTGACTTCCTTAAAAGTTGTAAATAAATAGGTACGAAATATCTGTGCGTTAATATTTAATCACAAAGGAAACATATTTATATATATATAGTATATATTAATAATATAAATATATATAATAATTGATATAATTGATATTACCCTGTAAATATGTAAGAAGGAAACTATAAAAACTGTTGCGATGACAACGATATTTTCCACCATACGTTTCCACCATACTTCCGGGTTAATCAGCGAAATATTGCACGCAAGAATAGCAGGTAATGGATAACTGGTATCGTTTATGCAATTCTCCTTTCTTAATATCTCTCGTCGCAGCAACTAGGAGTCTGCATACAATATGTCAATGTTGATATTGAAAGGTTTAGGCCCAAGACCAAGTAAAACAATACTTCGGATACTCTCTTTCGGATAACCGTTTATTACCACGATTATACAAGCATTTATATTGTTATAAATATAGACCTTTTTTCAATACGATATTAACGGATGATGCATTTCGCGCATGCGCATTCTGCGTAGGGCAAAAACGCTTTAACGAACGACTACATTCTATCATACTTAAAAGGCTTAATAGATGTGATTTCAAGTTATGTCACAAAGAAAACATTAAGTACTTAAAACGTGAATTAATATTTATAACAGATATAAGAAAATATGCGGGACTAATAATTCAATGATAAAAATGCGCATACAAAAGTCCTCTAGTCTAAGGTATCATTATCATTTTTCACCAGTAATTTAAATTGAAACAACAGGGTGTTAAAAATAAAATATTTATTACCCCTGTATTTCATTATATTACACAATTTGTATTGTACACTTCCTTTGAATGAGTGAATTGGCAAGGGCGGTAAGTTTCAAATAGATTAATATGTGACCCGGCTAGTTTACAATATATCATTCAACAGCCATGACATAGTTAATCAGGTAAAATTATGAAAATCAGTATTTAAGTAACTTTTCCATATACCAATCTCATCAATATTTATCAATTTTGTGAAGTGACAAAAAGTGTAACGTGCATTTACATGTGTTACGGGGCACCGGGATAAAATGTGTTGTTGTTTTTTTTCGCTACCCATATAGACGAATCGTCGGATACCCACGGGCTTTGATTAACAGTTAATAAACAATGTCAATCAATGTTAATGGTTCGGCCGTGGGTATCCAACGATGATATAAACGGTAACTTCTCAAGATTTTGAAAAAAATGTATATTTAGATGTTTTATGTGACTTGAAAATTTTCTGTTTGGCATCACAGTCAAATCGGATAAATGATAAAAATTAAGTAAACTTAAACTAAAATGCATAATCACGTGTTCTGACTTTTTGTAAATTAATATTCTAATATTTTTTGTCTCTATGGCCAATTTTCTCATGTGTTTGTATAGGAAAGAGAATAAATAGTGTTAAACATATCATTTTGTCACACAAATCCTGAGCAAAATGTATTGTATATGTTTTTTTAATTTAATTGTTAAGCGATGTTTTTAAATTTTTAGCCGTTTTCCCCCTTTTCCTAAATTTTCTACTCACTGCGATTTTACTTACTGTAAATTTACCCAAAGATTTTGTTATTCTTGAAATTTTTCGCATTTTTTAATTAAATCATTAGAAGTACAAAAAATCACATAGAAGTTATACTCGTACACATTTAAAAAATACAATTTAGAAGGGTACTAATAATATTGGTATCTAATAATAATGGTATCCAGCTACATAGAAATTACAACAAAGAAGGAACTAAAAATACCGGTTCTCTTTCAAAACAGATGGCGCTTTACCGGCATGGTGTTTCCCAGTGCTATAAATAGCTTTTCGACTGTTATCTGGAGGACTGTACTTGACAATAATGTATCCACTGTTTTTCGGCTTTGCTGAAGTTTACTATACATGTACCTTAAGAGAGATGGTCGAAGTTTCGTCTGGATCGGTCGAGTAAATCGGCGAATATAAGCTGTAATGCGATGAAACCGACTAAGATTCTTAAATTTATCAATCAATTCCGATAATATTCTATGTGTTATTACCGGGTACGTGATGTATAACTACATGTATCGTTTGCTCGTCTATCTCTGCTTGCCTACTTCCGGTATAGATTACTCTTCGGTTTTCGTTTGCACGTGTAACCCGTTTGAGACATCCCGTATAGGGCATCTACTCTTGTCACATAACCATATCGGTCCCTTCATCCAAAGATCGTTCCTTATGAACTACCTCTTGTCAGTAAATCTAATGGACAATATTTCCGTGTTAATTGGTTAATAAGGTTATATGGCTCTTTTACGCGATTGTCAACGTCTTTTTCGTAGGAAACAATTTGTCTGTCGGACCACAGTGTTATGTCTGCTTTAGGAAATGTCGTCTTAGTCTAACGACCTTGATCTAAATATAACTTTGACTACGAAGATTAAATCATTGTAAAATATTAGTTTTTGCTAAAATTAATCAATGTATTTACTTCACTCTAGTCCACAGCAGTCCTTGGGCAAGACATAACAGAATAATAAATATCTGTCATATGTTGCGGCAATCTCCACACAGTGATCTCCCCTTAATTCTTCGGCGTAGATCTCTGCCACCAAGGTCCGATATATCAGAATTTCTGATTTACTATATTTTTTCAAAAATTGTTTTATCTACTGCTTTTATCTATCAGATAAGTTTTTTCTCATTTATTTAACAATGTTTATGAATAAATAAATAAATAATATGAATATTTAGAAATAATTTTAAAATTATGAGACTATTTTCTTCCGAGACAATGTTTTGATATTTTATATTTTTTAGCTTTTGAATTTATTTTTCGTTATTTTGTATACTTTTTTGATAATTTTTTGATAAACTATATCGAACTTAGGCACTAAAAGTAAAAAATAACACAGAAAGAGAAAAAATGACGTTAGATTTTCTATGTAACGGTCGTCGATATTTACATTTGAATTTAGACGTTACGTCATGTGACTTTCATCATCATGTGACGTCTTTGAAGGCAGTGATTACAATTCTACCAAGGGAGGTAATCACTGTGAGGAGTTTGATGTTGCGGTTCGGATCGGAATATCCGTCCCTCGGGAACCCGCCCCATTGGGCGGGTTCCCGAGGGACGGATATTCCGATTCGAACCGCATACATATGTCAGATATTTTTTCTTGCATATTCTGCCACATTATTTCCTATTTAAAATGGTTTACCTCAATATGATATATGTTCATGGAAATTAAAGTCATTTCATCCATATCTATTTTCTTACAATAGCGTATGAACTTACCATTAAATAACAACGGCGAAATGACGTCATCCATGATCCTAACATATGTCCCATCTAAAACGACGTCATTTTAACGCGGTTCATTCATAAAGTGCGCTAAAATGACGTTGCTGTTTGGCACGCGACTCATCTGGCACCCCCCCCCCCCATGCCAGATGAAATTTCCGGCATGGGTAAAACTCACGGAAACGCCCAATCTCCACACAGTGATCTCCCCTTAATTCTTCGGCGTAGATCTCTGCCACCAAGGTCCCAATATATCAGAATTTTTGATATACTATATTTTTTCAAAAATTGTTTTATTTACTGCTTTTATCTAGCAGTTAAGTTTTTTCTCATTGATTAAACAATGTTTATGAATAAATAAATAAATAATAAATAATATGAATATTTAGAAATAATTTTAAAAAATATGAGAATATTTTCCTACCGAGACAATATTTTGATATTTTATATTTTTTTAGCTTTTTGAATTTATTTTTCGTTATTATTGTATACTTTTGATAATTTTTTGATAAAACTATATCGATCGTAGGCACTAAAAAGTTAAAAATAAAACAGAAAGAGAAAAATGACGTTAGATTTTCTATGTAACGGTCGATATTTACATTTGAATTTAGACGTTACGTCATGTGACTTTCATCATCATGTGACGTCTTTGAAGGCAGTGATTACAATTCTGCCAAGGGAGGTAATCACTGTGAGGAGTTTGGGAAACGCCAATCTGCTATGCAAGAATAATAATATCTGTCATATTTTGTGGTTCGGATCGGAATATCCGTCCCGAGGTGACCCGCCCATGGGCGGGTCACCTCAGAACGGATATTCCGATCCGACAAGCCTCGTTACCGCCCAATGGGCGGGTCACCTCGGGACGGATATTCCGATCCGAACCGCAAACATATGTCAGATGTTTTTTCTTGCATATTCCACCATATTTGATTATATTTTAAATTCTTTATCTTAATTTTAAATGAAAATTTATATCATTACAACCGTAACTACTTTCTTACAACAGCGTATGAAATACAACTTCATTCATAACGGTAAAATGACGTCATCCTAACCGTGCTATTGTATAGCACGCGACTCATCTGGAACCCCCCATGCCAGATGAAATTTCCGGCATGTGTAAAACTCACGGAAACGCCAGTCTGATATGCAAGAAAATTTAATCAAACTTGACTTTAATTTGACCTTGGCACTCAATGTCAAATTAGCATTTTTTTTCTATGATTGGAAGCAACTTTTTCATTTACCTATTGGTTTGATTTATACTAGGACAAAGGAACCTTTATGAAAAAAACCAGTATTTTGAATCATTTATATGTCACCTTAACGTATATTTTAAACTTGACCTTCAAGTTTAAATTGTAAAATTTACTTAATTTGTTATCAATTTTACAGATTCGATGCATACTTTGACAAAAGAACACGTATGGCAAATAGTAAATACATGTATTGTTTTCGATACTTTCTAGTTTTTGCTTCGTGGTATTTAAAAGTCTTTGGTATGAATAGTTCTCGTTTTTCTCGTGCGTATTTCGCGGCTAAAAAGTCATTTGAGGTTTGCTACTGTACAAGTAACATTACTTTTGTTCAGTTAATTTAAGGTCTAAACAAGTGAGATTGTTGCTTGATGTTGTAACAAAACTGTCCAATGGCTCAATTATCTGTATAATTATGTTGATTGAATATTTGTCTTTGGAGATATATTTTGTCTTTATAACATGATAAAATACGTTATTATTCATGTATTGCTATGAGAAAATATGTGTCGACTTTAAGAAATAATAAAGTTTCCTTTTAAAAGGAAAGGCTTGCTTAGTTGTGCCATCATCCCTTCCCTTTAAAATTGGTTTTTTTGTTTCAATTTATTATTACAATTTTTTTTTGAATTACGGTATTTGTATATCATAAAGGGTTTATTTAGTTTTTTTTTTCTCGAAAAAAAAAAGTTTCACTTTTAAAGGGATAGGGACTGGACGAGCACCTGTGCCCATTTGTTTGAGCACCAGTGTTATGCGTGCAAATTTGGACCAAATAGGGACGAGAAGTCCATTGATTATAACTGAACGGGAACATGCTGACGATAACAGTAACAACTTTTTTTTGTAAAAACGAATATTTTTTTTGTCAAAAACGATTCGAAATCTATTCTCTATTGTATAAAAGTAATAAAGAAAATAATCAATCGTAAAAATACTAACATTGGCTCTCACGTGGAGATCAATCTATCATACTGAATGGAAACAAGTGCGCACATTTCATTTCCACTTTTTTCGCAGAGAGAGTCATTCGTTTTGGCAGTTGCTAATTTCATTTATATAGCAGCTTTAGAGACAAGTAAATGCACTAAGAGACCTCGTTACGTGGTACCAATTAATAAGCATGAATCAACTATGTTTCACCTAAAATATCTATGATCAGCACGTGGAAAGGTTAATGATATGCATGTGCTATTTTTAGATTACCTCACTAAGACGTTTAAACTCTGTCAGTAGATCAAAATATAACTTGATCATGCACTTATATTCTGCGTGATTCTGGTAAGCAGGACCGCCCTTTGGAGACGGAATACTACTACAGTAACCATTCTATATTGTATAAAACTAATAAAGACAAAAACTTATTATAAAAGAAACAATCTTTTGCGTAGAAACGAAATCAAGTAAAAATAGAAATCCTTTTTATATAAACAAACTGGGATTACCGAAGTAACTAAAATAGCTTAGATTTCCGTAATATTACTTCGTCTGATTCCGCAGTATGACGGAATCGCCCGAATTGTCACGATTGCAATCGGAACTACCTCGGCTATTATCATTAATCCGAAGAGTGACGGAAAGGGCCGAAAAGTTGCGATTGGCACGATTGCAGCTGGTTTCCCGTTCAATCATGCACTAACAAATGTAAGCAGGAAACTACCTAACCGGAACAACTTTTCCAAAACAAATGGCTTGCAGCTGTGGCTTCAAGCCCAAAAGTAGCAAACCGCCTTCTAACTCGATACTGTCTTTGTTTTTCCTTGTCAAGTATAGCAAATAATTGTTTTATTTTCGGACCAACGTATGTGAGGGAGAAAATAAGTTGAATTATTCATATGTAACCTTGACCTTTAATTAATCTTGACCGTAAAGTCAAAAAATTATTGAAATGTCATAACTTTCTTTTTTATTTACATATTTGATTCAACCTTGGACAAAAAACCTACAATATGGCAAAACCTACATGTTATATATTAATGCTCCCCGAAGGGTGAGCATATAGTCGCCGTTTTGTCCGTCTGTCCGCTCTCACGGGACAGTAATAATGTGGCTATAGGGACAATAGGTAATTATTCTTTCTCTTTGATGTCATTCATTCCGTAATGCTTTTATGTGGCTATTTTCTTTTGTGTGGAACAATAGAGAGAACAAAAGAGTAGCCACATTATTACTGTCCCGTTAGAACGTCCGTCCGTCCGCTATTCCGGGAACAACAAGAAACCTTGTATGTAGATAGATCTCACTGAGTATGTGTGCAGTGCACAAGAATCATAACTCTACCTTACCTAATTTTGAAGTTATTCCCCTTTGTTTGAACTTTGTCCGGGACATAACTCTAAAACTATAAAAGATATCAACATGAAACTTTGTAGGTAGATAGATCTCATTGAGTAGGTGTGCAGGGCACAAGAACCATAACTCTACCTTGTCTAAATTTGAAGTTATTCCCCTTTGTTCATTTTTATACTTTGAACTTTGTCTGGGACATAACTCTAAAACTATAAGAGATATCAACATAAAACTTTGTAGGTAGATAGATCCTAATGAGTAGAAGTGCAGTGCAAAAGAGCCATAACTCTGTCTTGCTTAATTTTGGAGTTATTGCCATTTGGTCATTTTTATTCTATGAACATTGTCCGAGATATTACTCTAAAATAATAAGAGATATCAACATGAAACTTTGTGGGTAGATAGATCGCATTAAGTAGAAGTGCAGTGCAAAAGAACCTTAACACTTTTGCCTAATTTTGGAATTACTACCCTTTGTTCATTTTACAATTTGAAGTTTGTCTGAAACATAACTCTAAAACTATAAGAGAAATCAACATGAAACTTTCTGGGTATATAGATCTCATTGAGTAAATGTGCAGTGCACAAAAACATAACTGCCTTGCCTAATTTTGGAGTTATTTCCCTTTGTTCATTTTTATACTTTGAACTTTTTCCGGGTTATAACTCTAAAATGATAAGATATATCAAAATGAAACTTTGTAGGTAGATAGATCGCATTGAGTAAATGTGCAGTGCATAAAAACTATAACTCTGCGTTGCCTAATTCTGGAGTCATTTCCCTTTGTTCCTTTTTACACTTTGAACTTTGTCCGGGACTCTGACACTACAAGAGGTATTCTTTTCTGTGTCCAAAATTGTTTCGGGGAGCATCACCCGGTTCACCCGGTTCTTGTTTCTGATATGGCTTGGCCTTTAATTAATCTTCACCAAAGTCTATTTATCGAAATCTGCTTAAATTGTCATAACTTTGTTATTTATTTGTTGATTTGATTCATGCTTAGAAGAAAAGAACACTGAACACAAGACTGACAGAAGATTATTTTAAATGTGACATTGACCTTTGAATGACCTTGATTGTCATAATATGAAATTTGTATTTTATTTGTTACAAGAAGATAATGTCTTGTAGGAGTACTCTGAATACATAATAAAATATTCCTCCTCTGACGTGTTTGACTGTAGGTATAAGGAAAGGTATCAGAGCGTGGTCCCTGCTAGGTGGTTGCTCGTGTTTATTTTGAATATTTGCTTTTTACTAAAATAATCGTTAAAGGTATTCACTTCAAAGTTGTAATATTTGTTGACAATCAAGGGCAGAGAAGTCTTTAGAATGATTCCCCCTTTTGTCTTTTACTATCATTTAATTTTCCAGCACTGGGAAAAGTTAAGCGTGTTGTCCTTAAACAGATTGTCTACAATTGACTAGGTTTTGTTAAGAATTGTTAAATACATATAAATAATATGTTTTTGCCAATTCCATTGTATCAAATTTCCTATCTATATCTTTTCAGGCTGGTTTCATCTTGAGTTTGCAAGAAACTACTAAATCAGAATGGATGATAATCTACGTCGGTTGCGAAGGGGTGCAGACGAAATACAAAGAAAACACAATGTCATTGCCAAAAATCTACGTAGGCATTATTATTTGTCTATTATAGGAAATGTGCTGGGTGTTTTAGCAACAATCACAGCTAATGGATCATCTGACCTTCTTTCATCATTATTTTACATTGGGAAATGGATTGTTTGGATTGTCAATCACAAAACATTTAAACAAGAAAACACTTCTTGTGAAAAAGAAATTAAAAAAGTTTTTGATAGAGTAATTCAAAAGGATGGTCCTCAAGACTCTAAGCAGGGTGTTTTCGCATCCTCTTTCTCTAGAAAATTGCATTATTCAGTTCCATTTATTTTGGTATGGGATATTTGTAAAATTATTCATTTTAAAAAGACACTATCTGTAACGGAAAACATACAGCGTTTGAATACCTTGGTTACCGATGCTGGTAACACTGTTGCAATGCAAAAGAATAGAATTGAAAATTTAGCACCATTATTTGAAAACATTAAAAGCATTATAAAAACCATTGACAATAAAACAGGTCACGTAGTTAAACTTATCCCTGGTATAAAAGTTCCAGATAATAGAAATATCAATGATGCCTTGTATAAAAAACTGATAAAATTACATTCAAAACCTCCATTTATTGGACCCATAAGTGATAAAAAGTATTTACATCTAAAAAAAGAAATTGAAGAAGCAAAAACTCACAAGAACAAATTTGATGAAAATGCTTACGGTGTGTTGAAATCAGCACGAAAATGTTTACAATCAAGCTTTGAAGCCAAAAAGTTACCGACATTCACATTCGCAGAAAGTCAAGACAAAAATCTGGAATTGCTAAATGATACAAAAATAAGTCTAGATGCAATAAAAGAAATTGGAGGTGAATTTCAACACCTGCAACTTGACAAACAGGAAAATCAGAAAGCACTTGTGACAGGACTTGCTACAATGCTAGATAATGCAACTGAAACGTTAGCAAATGTATCTGAGTTTAATATTGATATTAAATCCAAACTAGAAAGAGCAAGCGTTAAAAGGGCAGCGAAAAAAGTTGTAGGGTATGCAAAGAAAGGTGGCAGAATAAATCATCAGGTAGATGAAACGGTAACTTCAATGAAAATAGCAAACAAGGCAATGGAAGTTGTCGAGAAGAAGACATCACGGTTTTGGGGACGTATTAAGCCGGAAAAGATGAATGAAATCAAGCAGCAAAAAGAAGCTGAAACATATGGCACAATGAAAGTTTGCATTTAGCAGAATCCGTCAGTTTGCTTGCTAGACATGCAGAGGATGTACTTCACTCTCCAGAAAATATTATAAAGGAAACTTCTGAAAACTACAAACCAGAAATGGTTGAGCAGGCAAGAGAAATTGCAACAGAAGCTCTTAATATATATGATCAAGTAGAAAATTTCAAAAGCAATCAAAATGGTCAAATTGCAGTTTTTGAAAGAGTGTTTCAACGCATATGGTCGTCAAGTGATGAGCCACTGAAATGCAACTCGAGGTAGTAAACATGCGGTCTGAAGCTACGAGACTCCGTCTTAAATTGTCTGGTGATGAAACGTTATTCAACAGACTTTTAGCAGCTCTTCGTCCAGTTGATAAGTTATCGTTGTTGGTATCTCTTTTCCTGCATAGGTTTTTTACGCCTTTAATCTTTACATGCTTCCAACAATTCATCCAAAAGCGAAGATACTGCAGGATGAGGTTAATAGAAAACTTTGGTGATGATGGACAGGTTCATGGCTAAAAGTGATAAGACATAATATATGTTTTCTTGTTTTCGTTGTGGGATTATCGAAATTGTTATGTCTCTTCATATGTGGTAATATCATAATAACTATAATCACTCTATTATAGTGTCACCTTGTCTGTATGTGTATGTGCGTGTGCATCCGCGCGTGTGTGTTATATAGATTATATAGTGAACTTAAAAAATCTTGTGAAAAAACAATACATGCAGTCCAACTTGGCAGGATTTTAAGTTCCTTGGGTTAAGAGCTTCCAAAGATGTTCAAAGAATTTGATTCCATGCATAAATCTGTTACGATGGCAACAAAAGGAATAATAAGAATGAATTTTAAAAATCTTCATGTAAAGACCCACAATGCCTAGAGCATAGATATTTTGCAAAAGGCATTGTCTGGGGTAGACCTCTACAAAGATTGTTCAAATTTAAAGCGAATGGGACGTCAAAAATTGGTCCCCGCCCGGGGTCATTGATTTTTAACTATGTTCATATATAGTAAAAACTTTTAATATTTTTTGTCTGAAGGTACAAGGCTTAGAACTTTGAAATTTGGTATATATTATCTTTAGGTCCTCTACCTAAGTTGTTAAAAATTTGCCGCTAGTGTCGAAATTAGCCCCGCCCCGGAGTAGTGGCGACATACACCAATCAAAGGGCTCCAAGCTCTGTGGTATTTTCTGTTCTTTGCCATCTAAATCGTACTGTATATCTTTATATATTTTCCTGTATAAGTTTATTTTTATATACTATAATTTCATCTTACAGGGCACCGAGATGCAGCGAATGCTTAGATCATTTTACTATAACAGTTTGAGTTTGATACATACGGAAATTTTGCTTGAGTTTGCATCAAAAAAATCATTTATGTTCATTTTTTATGACAGCCACCACTTTATCCTGGCATATCGTGGCTACTTCCTTAAAAAAAATAAAAAAAAAGTTGCCTCGACTGGGATTTGAGCCCAGACCTCTCACAAGAAGAACCTCTAACGAGCGCGTTTTACCCCTAACAGCACCACGGGAAGTCATACGAAGAAAAGCCTGAATAAAATCAAATATTCTATATTTGAATTCCATTTTCGGATTTTTAATCTTATAAATTTCGATTATATTTGTTCACGGATAAACCTGTTGTTAAACACTGATGGAAATAATTTAGCGAAAATCCCCTCGCCAAAACAGTCCGACATGTATATGTTCCACTACTCGACAGTAAGATTTATTTGTGTACTAAGCTCTAAAGTATTCGGTAATGGACATCGCTAAAAAAGCATTTTCATTGAATAAAATGATATTCATCCGCGTAATTTGTGATTGTGCATTTTTGACAATTCTATAAGCCAACGCTACTTTTAAACTTTGGATGCGTTGTAATTTGTTGGATACTTGTAACAAAATAAAATATTTCGTTCTTTTACATCGCTAGTTTTAAGCTGTTTTGAGAACTATTTGTTGTTGTGTTTTTTTCGTGAAATTCTGTGCCAGTGATTGAATGTCAGCATTGTATTTCCTAATCTGCGATCAGAAAATACAATAAATTTTATCTTAATACTAGGTTTTCACATTACGGACCTGAAAGCCGTGCTTAATTTTTCATTATGGTCCAAGGGCCTCGCAGAGCGGGTCCAAATTTGGTTCCTGGAAAATGATTACAATGAACTCGGTTGAAATATGATTGAAAATGCTACATTACTTATATTATCTAAAATCTATGTTGTTTTTACAGCAGTGGATTATGTTATGATTTGCACTTTTAACCTCAATTTGGTAAAATTATGCTTCTTCTTAGCCCTTAATGACCAATCGCTCTATAGATATGGCCAGTTCATAACCATAGAGATCACGTTCGTCTTTCATGTCCATCTGTCCGTTCATAAAACTTGCCCGGACTACTCCTGAAAAACTACTGGTGCAATTATTTCCAAACTACAGGAAAATTAGAACCAAGTCTAGTTGTGCATATATGGTCGGTGATTTTTTATCGGTTTCATTGATTTTTGTCAAGAAGTCATGGCCCTTTAATGATATTTATTTTTAAAGTTTGTCCGGACTACTTTTCTATATACCACTGAAGCAAATTCAATGAAACTTTACAGTATTGATCTGTAACTTAAAGTACTTGCGACATATTACATCGGGTTTTCCGGTTTGAATGAATTTGGCAGAGTTTTATGGCCCTTGAATAAAAATGTGTTTTTGTTATGTTGCCAGGCTAAACCAGAATCTTGTCCGAACTACTTGTAAGAAACTACTGGTGTGTTCATCCAACTTTTAGGAATGATCAGTTCCAGTTTAGTTGTGCATTCTCATCGGCTTTTTATGGTTCAGTGATTTTTGTCAGAGTTATGGGCCTTTAATTATTTTAATTTTCAAAGTTTGTCTGGACTACTCCTCTTTTACTACTAATGCAATTTCATTGAAACATTACAGGATTGATTAATAGCTCAAGTACTTGCGCATATTACACGCCTATTACACAGGTTTTCTACTTGAATAATTTTTAGCGCAGTTATTTCCCTTTAATTAAAAAGGTGTTAATAATGTTTGTCCAGCATACTCCTCTATACCACTTATGCAATTTCATTGAAACTTTACAGGATTGATAGTAGCTCAAGTACTTGCGCATGTAACACAGGTTTTCAACTTGAATGATTTTTGGCAGGGTGGAATAATTCACTACAACTACTGGCGTAATAATATTAGCAAACTTGATAAAAGACTACCTAAGAATGCTATAGACAAAGTTTTTGTGATCATCCATCAAGTTAGTTCTCTAGAAATAGACGTTAAAGGTTTTTCTATTTTTAGCTTTAGCGGCCCCTAAAAGGGACCAATCAAATTCATATATGAGCAACTGATAAAACACTACCCCAGAATGCTAAGACAAAGTTTGGTGATCATCCATCATTAGTTCTCGTAGAAAAGATGTTTAAAGGTTTTTCTATTTTATCCCTTGAGACCCCTAAAAGGGGCCAATCAAATTAATATGAGCAAACTTGATAAAAGACTACCAGAATGCTACAGACAAAGTTTGGTGATCATCCATTCAATTAGTTCTGTAGAAGATGTTTAAAGGATTTTCTATTTTTACCCTCTGCTGACCCTTAAAAAAGGGCCAATTTGGATGACATGAGCCAAATTCAACTGTGACTGTCACAAGGATGCTACAGACCAATCTGCCGTAGTTTCAGAGAAGAAGACGATTGATGACGCGGGACGCGGAGCATCCCCCTTTGATACTAATAGCTCACCCTGGTGACAAACTTAATTTTGTATTATTAAGATTGGAACTGCATTTGAAAATATCATGTTTCTGATAACATGTGTAACTATGAATTTTATAGCAGTAGTTTCAATTGTAAATATGTGTCCTGTAAAATATGAAACATTGCTGAAAGATTTAAAGGTACTGGTTCTGCTGCCAACTAAAGGCATTTAACTGAATTAAAAGTGTAGGCTCAATTGGAGCAGCGCTGAAAAATAAAGTATAGGCTCAGTTTCACTTTATTTTCAGCAATATTGACCCTATACCTTTAAAATTTTATTATTTTGGGGTATAAACCTTACTTATATTTCCGTGAATTTCCGCAAATGTAATGGGTTACGGAACCATTCGATACAATGCAATTGCAGCCCATAGCAGACGCCACCCACACCCAACCCAAGGAGATAATCGACGCATGTGCGGACATCAATTATTCTTTCCGCGCGTCTAAGCGACCAACATCGTTCAAATTCTTGTAAATAAACAAGTTCTCACTATAACAGTCTGTCTTCAGGTGAGTGTTTTGGAGCCAATGGCCCCCTTGTTCAAGTTATAGCTTTATGGTCAAAATAGGACCTGTCTGAAGAGAAAATTGGTTTTCTTCAAATCATAGTTGAATAATCAAGGGAAAACAACGCCTATTGGACAACTTTTTATACAAGTGTACATATGCAATTTTTCTATAAAATTTTAATGGGAGTTAGTGTAAAAGTCATGACCTCTAGAAAAAGAAATGTCTGCTTGTCAATGATAAGATGTCATGGTCTCTAGCAAGAGAGATGTGTTAGCTTTGCAAGGGTATTATGAAATAATTGAGCGTTATGGTTCACCACCAAATGTACAGATGTACATAATGATGATTTTAAATCGTAAATGTTTTATATTTGCAGAAATAGGTAAAACTTTATTGGAAAAAAAAAACTGTATTTGTAATGGATACAGTACGAGTTTTTCTTCAAAAGTGTCAGACGTAGAAGTCAGTTTGCTAGGATAAACAACAAATTGTCGCGGAGGCGAAGCCGAGGATAAATTGTTGTTTGTCCTAGCGAACTGACTTCTTCACAACTGTAAGAAGACGCTTTTGAAGAAAATACGAGTAACTGTATCTGACTTATACGACGTTTAAGTGAAAAGAACAGATAAATTAATAAACACATTTAATTATAGATAGATCTAAGTATAGGTATAGGTTATATACAGAGGTTTAAGAAATTAAATTTTCCAGCGAACGAAGTGGAAGCGAGAAAATTAGTTTTCTTAAAACTCTGTATATAACCTATAACCGACTTACACTTAATAGCCCCCGCCTTTTCAAACCGGAATGCACTATGTAAATAGGCGAGGTCCATTAAATCGGCTCATTTAACGCATTTAATACATACAATTGAGTTACAGCATATTACAGGCAATATAGTTGCACATAATCATGATAATGATAAAAAAAACCATTAATCGCCCATAACACACGTAAAATTATCACTCGAATATTGAATCTTTTTACTTTTCAGAAATCTGTGTACACGTTTCTCAATTTGAATTCATCGAAATTATTTTCGTCAATCTGGATGCATGCTGCTTAAACAGCTTTGCTATATAGTAAATACCTAAATTTTGTCATCGTTACGAATACTATTTCTATTTTGAATCAATTCTTGCACTATGGCCTTTGTATCTAAACATTACACACATCTTTGTCGTTCTTTTAACAGGCTGAAATATGATATTGACCGAACAAATTCACATCGACACAACTACATTGAGGCAAAGTTTCAATTGTATACAGACAAAAAAAATCTTCAGTTCCTACACTGCTATTTAGTGTGGCATAGCATTTTTCACAAATGCAATCTCGTTTTTTTTTTTAAATAATAAACGGTTAGTAAACATTAACCATTCCTCTTATACGGTCCCTAAAGGATGCCTGCTATCCGGCCTTAATTGCAACTGAAACCAGGACTAACTGATGCGTTAATTAACAAATCAGACTTAAAAACTGCTATCGTGCAAACAACATGTACGCCTCTTTTAGAATTCTTGGGGCCAACACGTCGTTATACACAATGGTATCAGGCACATTATTGTATAGCTACTTTTGATACTTGTTAATTATGTTACTTAATATGTAATATGTACATGAAGCTGTTTAAGCACGTTAAACAGCTAGATAGTGAGCAATGGATGATGGACAGACGACGGAGCAGTATTTGTCATATATGCTCATATGCAATAAAAAACAGTATCTCTAAAGTACATATTGAAAATGTTTCAGGTTTGTTAGTGCAAATTACGGTTCTCGCTTACATGGTATGGGTGAAATTTCAAATTTAGAATCAACTAAGATAGTTATCATAGAACCTTCGATGAGAGATGTTAGTGACATTCCATAAAAAGCGGCGTTTGGTCCCCAAGTAAATGAAAGCGTGTGCCCTAAACTATAGAACAATGGACAAAACAAAATTATGATATGGAATTTTGAAACGGGATGAGAGGTTATGAAGGAAAAGCTGTCACAATAGAGTGAAAAAGAATAGACCATTTTAAAAAATCAGGCAACATATCAAAAGGGTGATTAATATTATACTTTTTTTTTTCAAGAAACTACTCAACATCAAAAAGCCAAATAGAAAGAACTAAAACTACCACAAGCACAACAATAATGTCGTGCTGAACATCTTCAAGCATCTGCAAAAACTAACTACTTTCATCATCATCTATTCAGATAAACTTTACCAACTTTACTTACAAAATTAAACATCTATATTGGCTTATTTATTTTAAGTACAATGTACTTGCAATGATTAAACATGTTAACCTAGCTTAAATTTTATATATAAATGTACATGATCTTCAAAACAATTTTATCAACTGTAATCATTGCAACAGCCCAGTGGACCTACTTCACAAAGATATCACTTAACATTGACATTAAAATAGAGAAAAACAACTATTTATAATGAACTCTCTAAAAGCCAAAATTGAATATGTTCGGTTCGGTATGACTGAGTCTATTCATGGACGGTACTAAAATTTCAAGCTGCCTTCCACGCCCCCTAGCACCGGCTTAAGCAGAATGTAGTATGAAAATTGAAATGAATATGATGAAATTTTGAATTTAGAAATATCTACAGAATACTGAATCTAATCATCACTTATGAGTTGTTACTTATATATTCATAACTTACAGGGTGTGTGAGCATGTGTCATTTGTTACCAATAACATTAGCCGCGCTAATGGCCGCGCCCATCCCTTAAAAGGTATTGTCTGCTACCAATCTCCCTCGCAGTGGTCTTAGATGGCCGTAGCGTAACTGGTGCGCGGGGTTTGTTCTGATACTTTTATGATTTATAATTAGCACTAAAACAATTTATTCAATAAAAAACGCGCTGACTCGAATAATTTAATAACACAGATTTGAACATCGAGGCATTTTTCCGCTGTAACATTTCTCTTCAAACCTATACTTGTGAGTGTTATTTTTCAAAAGTTACGATTAAGATTATCAGTTAGTTGAAATTATCTGAGTTCTTTTTTATACAGATTAATCAAAACGAACGTTTCTTTTTAGTCCTTTTCAGAAACAAGCTGAAAGGAAACTTCACAAGCACTTAAAAATTACAAAAAACAAGCGATGAAATGCATAAGTGTCGTGAAAAAAATTGTTGGAACATTATGTGGTGTAAATGCTGGCAATTTATAGGTTACATTTTATTTTATGTGAAATAATTATTCAATATCTCATATATTTGCAGTGCTTTTGAACTAAGAAAGATAAAATTATTATATCAAAGTGTTCCAAATAATGAGATGATGCGTATTCGTTTATCTCCACAATGTTATGAAATGCTGACACTTATTAGATAAACATTGCCATGTGAGTAAGACTTTGGACAAGGTGTATTCAACTTGGTTCATTGCATGGTTAATTTTGCAGGTAAATTCTGTTTTTATATTTGTTTTATTTTTCATAAGCAAGTTAATCAGTTAGATCACATAGGCAGTTTAATATAACCTCTTAAAATTCATTTATTCTGTGCGTGTGTGCGGACTTGCAAGTGTACGTTTTGTTTTTGTTGGTTTATAAAGTAATCACCCAGTCCGTACTTCACCTTGTGTCCAGTCCTGTTTTTGTTTGACCAGTGGGTTAATAAAGTAATCACCCTGCCCGTGCTTCGCCTATTATCCTGTCCTGATTTTGTTTGGTGTTCTGCTGGGCTCCTTGCCGGCTGGTCCTGTGTTGCCAGGTCGTGTGAGGGTTGCGTTCATTGAGCGCCACCCTTCCTTGTTGACTTTGTTTAATATTCATATTTTACTACTTTTAAGGTTTTTTTTGCGGTGAGAAGACACAGTGACAAGACGCTATAATCTGGTCATAATCCCCAAATCAGAGTGTACCAACTACCGACATGTCCCTGATATAACCCTCCAAAATTGTAAATTAAAGTCAATTTCAATTTAGAGTTCATCAATATAACAACAATACAATGACACTGTAAGATAGTAAGGTTTTCACTAATTAGACTAGTGACATTTCCTTTGTTTTGAACCACCAGAACCTACGACGGAATTTTTCGTCGAAGACTGCATAAAAATCCAAAACAAAAATGGGCATATATAGAGGAAAATCAGCATAAATGTTGAAAATGTTGATAACTTATCCTGTGATTGACCTCATATGGTGTTACAGTGCACGTCAGGATCAGCGAAAATTCACATATACTTTTTACCGATGCTCAGTTTTGAGATTCATATTAGTTCCATCCCCGTGATCTCAGCTGCTCAAGATGTGCGCTGTAACTCGATATGTGAAGGAGCAAAAAGGTCAATCACAGGGTAAGTTTTCATCATTTTAAACATTTATATAAAATTGAAAGCTTTTTAATAAAATCGAAACGTGGTTCACTCTCATGACTTTCCTCTATATTTATTCATTTTTGCTCGGATTTTCATGATATTTTTTCCGTCATGGGTTCTGGTGTGCCCAAAATATGCAATATATATGACGAAAATAACGCTAAACGGACTCAAAATACAGAGTTTTCACAAAATCATACCTTCAAACAATGCTTTACATTCTAACAAACCCTTATTGAAACCTTTATTTAGATTTTAGCGACATTTTTTTCATACACACTGCATATTTGGGGCACACAAACCCACAACGGAAAGAATACTTCGATGAAGATTGCATTAAGATCCGAACAAAAAAGAATTAATATAGAGGAAAGCCAGAAGGGTAGAATCACGTTTCGATTTTCTTTAAAATAAAAAAGGCTTTGAATTTTTATTAAAGTTTTAAAAGTTGAAAACTTACCCTGTGATTGACCTTTTTTTTCTCCTTCACAAATCGAGTTAAAGCGCGCATCTGCAGCAGCGGAAATTCACATATATTTCACCGATCCTCAATTTTGAGATCCATATGGGGTTCCACCCCCGTAAACTAGTTCTATTAATGGTGATGTCATGATGTGTGTAGCAGGGACTAGAGAGTAGTGTGTACACTCTGGGTGAGTAAGTAATCAGATCACAGTGTCCTGTCCCTGTAGGAGAGGATGAGTGTAGTGAAGAGTTGAATGGCGTCAGTTTGTGAAAGAATTCCGTGTAGTGCAACGAAAATACAATTAATATGTGAAAATCAACCGACTTGGTATGATTGAACCTCTGCATTATAGCCACCGACCTATCTATAGAATACGTATATGATTTATCATTAGCAATAAAACAATTCAATAATTATAAATGAAAATGTAGAATCATATAAACTTAATACTAGTAACACAGATTTGAAGATTGGTACATTTTACCGCTTTAACATTTCTTTTTAGATCTATACTTGAGTGTGAACTTTTAAACTTTAAACAGGTACATTTAAGATTATCAGTTCACTGAGATTATCATTGTTTCTTTCTACCACAGGCTCATTTTAAACGAACACTATTTAGAAGTACTTTTCTGGAAACAGACGGAATGGAACCATTACAAACGGTGAGAATGTTACAACAAAGAAAGGATGATATACGTCAGTGTCGAGAACAATATTTTTGGGCACATTTTAAATTTTATGGTTGGTCAGTTGCAGGTAACATAATGAGTGCCATTGCTACACTTACAGCAAATACGTCACCGCGCCTTTTTACATTGTTATATATTTTAAAATATTTCATTTTTGTATCCAGACCGACATCAAAAGAAGGCGAGATGGAAAGACAAATAAACATTATATTCGATGATGCAATACGCCATGTTAAAACAGTCAGAAAAAACAATCCGGTAACTTCTTTCTGCAATAACCTATCATTGAAATTTTCTGTCCCATTTGCATCATTTTTATGGGATTTAACAAAAAGGTTTTATCGAGATAAACCTCCAAAACGAAAATTTGACGACCTCGGTAGAGCTTTTATTATCATCAACGGCACTGTTGAACGACAGAAATGCGAAATTGAGAAGCTGACACCAATGCTGAAAAAAATACAATCTTTATCACAAAGCAATGTATGTAAAGTAGTTAGCAATGCATGTAAAGTAGTAAAAGCCATTCCTGGCGTGGAAATGCCAGAAAAACTTAGCACAAAAGAAGCTTTATTGAAACAACATATACAAATTCAAAACAAGCCTGTTTCTAATAACCCACGTGAGAATAAAAGAACTGAAATTGATAAAGCAACCCGTATAAAGAATAAATTTCATAATAGTTCCCTTAATGTATTGGAGTCGGCAAGAAAATGTTTACAGGCGAAAGAAGAAGCAAAAGTATTACCGACATTGAAACTTGCGCAAAATCTTAAACTTCTTGAAGAAGCTAACAAAAATCTAGATGCAATCAAAGAAATTAAACTTGAATTTCAACTCCTTAATCATGAAAAACAGAAAAGTCAGCAAGCTATCGTCGAAGGAATTTCCACAATGCTTGATAATACAACTGAGGCACTTGAGAATGTATCTGACTTTATAGATATCAGATCGGAACTGGAAAAATCAAGAATTCAGAAATCTGCAAAAAGAGTCCAGGAGTATGCAAAACAAGGTTACGAAATTAACCATCAAGTGGAAGAGGCAATAAAAGCAATGACCGAAGCTAACAAAGCAATGGTAAATATCTATAATTCTACAAAGGGTTGGTTTAGTGATGGGATGCAGATAAATGAGCTAAGAATACCTGTAGGAACTGAGAACGACTGGATTACTCAAAGTAAAGATTTGGCAGATTCTGTGAAATTGTTAGGAGAACATGCCGAAAAGTTGACGGATCCTCCCGAAGACATAATGAAAGAATTATTTACAACCTACCGAACAGAAAGTATGACACAGAATGCGACAGATATGGCAAATGAAGCTCTTAGTATTGCCGACCAAATAGAGTGGGAAATTTCCAATTACAATCCAGATAGCCAAATCCTTGTTCTTGAACAGGTTTTTCAAAGTATATGGTCAGCAAGTACAGAAACCGCTAAAATGCAGCGTGATACAGCTGTCAGTAAAATGCGTACTAAAGCACAAAAGCTTCGTTGGAAAGTTGCTGATCATAAATCATTTTCAAGCAAATTGTTAGCAGTCTTTTATCAAGTTGATACAATGTCATTGCTGATAGCAATTTTTGGTACTGTCGTTGACGTCATTAGCATTTTCAAGTTGTTCAAAATGCATCCGAAAGAAATATTGATCCGGAATGAGATTGAAAGAATACTACAAATCTTAAATAATCACCATGAGGACGATCAAGTTCCAGAAGAAATGTTGATCCAGGATGAGATTCCAATCCCAAATAATCACCATGAGGACGATCAAGTTCCAGAAGAAATATTGATCCAGGATGAGATTCCAATCCCAAATAATCACCATGAGGACGATGATCCTGGTGAAATTTGATAAAGCCCTGATTTTGGTATGGCTGTGTATGTGTGTGTGCGTGTGCGCGTGTGTGTGCGCGCGCGCGTGCGCGTACACGTGTGCGTACATGTAAGGTTTTGTACTTAGTTGATGGACTGATGGACAGATGACTGTGTACTCGTGCAAAAGATTGACTCGTATTAGAATAAAATATTTCGGAAAGCGTTTTAATGATTATCCTCCTTGGTAAATATTACAAAATCCCCAGGCTTTTGAAGCACATGTACTTAAGTTATTATACATATCAAATTATTGAAATTGTTGTATTGTATGTGACGGACTATATTATACAAATGAAAAGCAAAATGCAATTGTTTTTGTTTGTTGTTGTTGTTTTGTTTTTTAATTTACTGAAATATACATACTAATAAGGTACATTTTTGTAATATTTAGTTTTTACTTTTCAGTTTTCACTTTTCAGTTTATTGCCCTATTGTTACATCTTTAATTGGTAGATTTTTTGTCAGACTGTACAAACAGGAGGTCGGTTGCTCTAAGAAGATGGTCAAAATCTTAGCTGAAATAAAGCATTAAGACATTCATGAGATATTCCTTACCCAATGAAGATGATGAATGATCATATGACCTTCACAGTGCTGGTTTGACTCCCAGCCATTAAACAAATCATACCGAAATATCCTTATCAAATTAAAAGTTACTACAAATGGGAAGGTGATTATATTGCTAAAGCATTAGTTATGACAAAATCAATATAAACAAATGTGATTTTAAAATTTACAGAAATATTAATTACATGTACTTCTATTTGTATAATAAAACATATCAAAACAAAGTTTTTCTTACCTATTGGCCATATTACCCAGTATAGTTTTAGCCTTTTTGCAAAACATTATTTTTGTTCTGCAAACTGATCGCAAGTTATGACCGATCAAACACAATTGGCAAAATAAGTCAAACAACAAAATAATATAGAGAACAAGCAATTATCATAGTATTGCAAGCAATCCATACGTCCCCTACCGGTTAGAACCCCAGCAACATTTCTGATGGGCCATTGGCCATTCAAGTTCAAGGGAGGTAATACTGATAATTTTTGTACTAGAGTTGTAAACCTTGTCGAATATGATGTGGTTGATGACCAGAAACTTATATTTAAAGTTTGAAGTAAACACCTTAAGAAATAAAGAACTTATAGTGAAAAAGCTGAACAATTTAAATCAGAAATCTTGAAATTCAGGCTATTTGTTGCCATAGCAACCAGAATTTTCAACATAGGAAAAAAAGAAAAAGATGTGCATAATCTCAAGACTGCCATCTACCTATATTTCAAGTTTCATAAAAATATTTTCAGTACTTTTTGAGTTATCACTGGATCAAGTTTATGTGTTAAATTTGCCATATTTTCAGACACTTTGTTGCCATAGCAACCAGAATTTTCAACAAAAGAAAAAGACGTGCATAATCTCCATACTACCATCTATCCATATATCAAGTTTCATAAAAATATTTTTAGTACTTTTTGCGGGATCCAGTTTTGTGGACGGACGGACTGACGGACGGACGGACAGACAAACAGACAGACAGGCAGACGGACAGACGGACGGAGGGTAAAAACAGAATCCCTAAAGAAAGCCCATCACGTCAAAAATGAAAATGTTGCATGCATGGTTTGATTGTGACTGTTCATGGGTGGTAGTGATAATTGCAAGATGACGTCCATGCCTCCTAGCACCGGCTTAAGCAGAATTCAACATTTATTCTAACCCTCGCGTGATTTTGTCACTATAGACAAAGAAGGAAAAAAACTGGTGTTAAACTGCCAATAAACACCTGTTATGGACTACTTGTATATGCGCTGTTATTTTTTCACCCTCGATTGTATAGTTTACAAAGCATTTTAAAGCAACAATAAAAAGCATTTTTATTTATATTTTCAGTTCGTATAATGTTTTCTTTTCATACAATACCGAAATAATATCCATATCAGTCAATAAATATTTTGACAAAACGGCGCCAATCCGTATAAGCAGCGTAATGACGTCATCCTAAGTAAACAACTCATTCATAAACAAGCTGACGTTATTTCATACATACAAGAATGATAAATGGGGCACTGACGTAAACACAATACGACGTAAGTTTTTATTGTTGAAAACTTGATAAAATAACGTTTTTTCTCATTATTTCTTTTGTTTAATAATTTCTATATCTTTGCAACAGTAGAGTGCGAAAATCGAACAGCGTTATACGAAAATCGGCACCGGAAGTTATTTCCGCTTGAAAAATAACATTAGTTATTTTTCTTATTTTATCGTGTTAGAATCGAAATAACATCGGCCTGAGAGGTGTATATCGGCTATTTAACACCGGTTTTGTCGTTTCGATGCGAGAAAATTAACCACTCAGGCCTACGGCCTTCGTGGTCAATTCCTACGCATCAAAACTCCAGACCGGTGTTAAATAGCCGATATACATCGCTCAGGCCGATGTTATTTCTTAAACATTAAGAGGTAAAATTTTGAATGATGAAACATCAGCAGACGTAACAAACCATGAAGATGTCGGGAAAGTTACTAGTACGCAATTAATAGATTTCTGTCAAATTTGATAGAACATTGGAACATGCATGTATTGTTTATTTTATACCAGTGAGTAATTGTCACATACTTTGTAAACAATAATTGGACGTATTTCAACTCTTAACCTGTTTTTTTTATTGTGCCGGTTTTGTCCTGCTTTAAAATTTAAACGGTTCATTCAAAGTTTATTGGATCTTAGCAATAAGATAAAAAAAAATGAGTTACATGTACAGACGAGTAGCTACATGTTTCCGAATAAATACTGTTCCTTTTTCAAGATGCTACTTAAATATACAGTTCCTTAATTAACTTTATCTGTGATGTTTGCTTATATTATACTACTTATTAACACATTGTGCCAGTTATTAGAGAATTTCTTTCTTTAAGTACATGGTTTATCGGTTATAACATGTCGGTTATATTTTGAATGCATTGTATAACATCTCTTATGCCCCTAGCAACGACTTTCAATACTCAACACTAAAAGTATTGGAATCATTGATTCCAAAAGACCAGAAAAATAAAACAGATTATCTGTTTTATTTCTGTTTTATTTTTCTGGTCTTTCGAATATGATAACACTGATTCGAGGTACCGGGCAAATTTTAATGGCTGTCATACAGCACATGAGTGTCGCTCAGCGGTGCTAGGGAGTGTAAGGGATGGTACATTTCTTCATTGTCTCTCATGTACAGACTTAATCAAATTGAGTCTGCAATTTTCATGTTATTTGGTTGTGATTAATGATTCCGGAGAATCAATCTCTCTCCGGGTTTCTATACATCACATCAGCAGGTCTGGTGTCAAGTGCCGTGCGGTCTTTTATTTTTCTGGTCCTTCGATCGTGATCATTGATTTCAGCACTTTTTGTAAGTATTGCAAATTGAGTACCACTCAAGCCGGTGCTATGGAAAGTTTTATTTTATCAATAATTGAGATTGATATATTGAACGAGTGACGGACTACATTCTTCAGATGAAAAGCAATAATGCAAATCAAATCAAGCTTGGTAAAGGTATACAGTACTACACAATGTTTCATATTTAATATCTTACCTCTAGCCTTTGTCAAAACAAAAAAGACGATTTTTTATGTTTGTACTATATAATTTTAACAATTTTTGTATAGTTTCATTGCACGATGCCACACACAAAATATCTAAGCTCTAGGCATTGCACTTTCAGAGAAGAAGATTTTTAAGTTTTTACAATATGTATAAAATGAAAATCTTAACCCCAGGGGCGGGACCAATTTTGACCCCAGGGCTATAATTTGAACAATTTTTGTAGAGTTTCATAAGATGATGTAACACACAAAATATCTAAGCCCTTGGCCTTACACTTTCGGATGAGAAGACTTTTTAAGTTTTTAATTTATACATGTAAGGCCCTGTGGCGAAGCATGTTTTGACCCCAGAGCTATAATTTGAACAATTATGTAGTGTTTCACGAGATGGTGCTACACACAAAATATCTAAGCCATAGGCCTTGCACTTTCAGAAAAGAGGATTTTTTAAGATTTCATTTCAAAAATTTATTTTAGCTCTCCTGACCCAGATGTTCAATTGAGCAGAACTATTTGAACAATTTTAGTAGAGCTTTATGCTAGGAACATCCCAGAAAAATTTCATCAAATTTGATTCAGTGGTTTCTGAGAAGTCGTTTGATTAAATGTTGACGATGGACGCACTGACGGACGATGGACGCCGGACAAATTGTGATCCCAAAATCTCACCTAGAGCAAGTTGTGCTCAGGTGAGCTAAAACGCATACAGTAAAATGAATAGCTAATAGATATGCGAGCTAGGGGCTTTCATAATATAATTCATTTAACTCGTTCAAACCAATTAGCTATGAACCTTCACTCATGCAACATTATCTTTATGGTGTGGCATTGTCATTTATGAACGTAAACAGTCTGTTTGTGCTGTGCATTTTTACTCTGTCTGTTTAGGCCTTTTTGGAAGAGCCTTCCTTTTCTATTTAGATGTGCACTGGTATAAAGAAGTCCCATCATAATTATCATACAAATTTTAGTCCTGCTGAAATACAACGTAAATAGCCCTTGGTATATAACAACTGCTTAAATGTTTGTCAAATATTACTTAAGTACATGTATATTACGCACGTTTGTCATGTCCAATTTAGAAATAACTGACGCTTCATAGATAATTAGCGTTCATATATTTCAACCCATGTTAGACTTTGGATTGGGGTGTTTTCAAAGCTGGTGCAGTACTAGGTAAATTTTGCAGGTAAATTAATTTCATACCTTAGATCGATTTTTAAGTATTGTTATGCGGAAAATTAAACAAGACAATTTCTCTCATTTCGCATTTTTCAAAACTGTTACAAAATTACAATACAGCACAATTTCTTTTTCTGGTGTATACGTTACATGATACAGTAAAAACGTCTTAATTTTAATCAAGTTTTATTTTATTGATATTTACAGACTGTATTTTGATCTTCTTAGACATTTATTGAATGAGAATGGCGGATAATCAACGTCTGTTAGGTCGGGGTGCCGAGGAAATACATCAGCTGTATGACGATATTGCCAAAAAGCAAGTCAAACGTTATCGTTGGTCGATTTTAGGAAACATTATTGGTGCCTTAGCTACAATCACCGCTACTGGATCATCTGATTTTCTTTCATCAATGTTTTACATTTGAAAATACATGATTTTGATTTTCAACCGAAAATCAATAAAACAGGACATTGTGAGTTGCGAGACCCAAATTGAAAGCATCTATTCTCGAGTTATTCGACAGGTAAATCTTCAAAATCCTAATCAGCGATTTTCGACAAAGCCTTTTTCCAGCAAATGCTCATTGCCTTGTTCAGTTCTGTTAAATTTGATAAGGGATCTTTATCAAAGGATTCCTCGTGAAAAGAATCTATCTATTACTAAAAACATTAGTCGTTTAAATGACCTCGTGACTGCTACTGGTAAAACTGTTGTTATGCAGAGGAAGGAAATTGAAAATTTAACACCAATGTTAAAAGAAGTAAAGCACGTCATTGAAAATATTAAAGATAAAGCAGAACATGTAGTTAAATTCATTCCCGGTATAAACTTACCAGAAGGTAAAAAGGTTGACAATGCCTTGTATGAAAATCGTATCAAAGTGCATGTGAATTCACCTTTTAGTGGGTCAACGAGTATTAAAAAGTGCTTGCATCTAAAACAAGAATTTGAAGAAGCAATCGAAAACAAGAAGGGTTTTGAGAAAAATGCCTTCGGTGTATT